GATGCTGCTATGAGGGGTTTGCCATCCTACCCAAAGGTGGTGGTACTGTAGCAACAGCAAGGGATAGCCATGAGGAAGGCAGGAAGGATATTTTTTTTCCTCTCACAGGAAATGGAGGTTGTGAAGTTTGCCAAATGCATCCTCACGTAGTCCAATTCGCATGTACAACACGATGTTTGGCCTCTTCTACAGCAAATAAAGCGTAGTTTACAAAAAAAATAGTCCAGTGTGTCTATGTGTGTTTGTGTACTACATGCTTTGCACAGTACTTGAGTTTAGATAAGTTTTAACAATGAGATATTTGAACTAGTTCACACGCCTTCACTTGACATTGATTTGACTTTTTTCACGTATCATGCGTGAGTGCTCAACGTTGGCTACTCCAGTTGCCTGTTTTATCATGAGATACAGGCATAGGTACATACTGAATGACATGACTGTTTTGTCGTCGTTCAACCTTGTCACCTATCCTGCTTGGGAGTTATGACCTTGTGTACGAGGCACGGCACAATCTGCTTCAAACATTCCTTTACCACCATGCACACAGTAAGTCGAAGTCAATTATGTAATAATTCTAAACACAAACGCAGGTAGCTTAATGCTATTAAAAGAGGCTCGCTGAAAGGCGTTAACAGTTTAGAGTGTAAACCCTCAGTCTAAAATGAATACAACACTTCAGTAGAGTAATATAGCATAGGGACACATTCTTAAGGTCACTTGGGTAGAGTTTTAAAACACGAGGTTTTATTTGTAAAGGCGCCACGGTGGAAAGATGTTAACTACTTTGCCTGGTATACAGGAGGTCGTGGGTTTGATTCCTAACGCCTGTATATTCGGAGTTTGGTGGTGTGGATTTTCTCCAGGGCCTCCGGAATCTTCCATCCACATTGAGAATCAACACGCGTTTTTGGGTATTTGGTTGCTATCAATTTCCACAGAATCCACTTTGTTGAGCTATCATTTGTGGTGAGGTCGCTTCTGAAAAAGAGCTATATAGCTAAGTGGGCCTTACCTGGTTAAAATAAAAAATAGTTTATAGTAAAACCAGTTAAACAGTGTCCTGTTTTTACGTGCGTTTAAATAGAAATAATGTTCTTGTCAACCTAAAGGTAAAGTAACTCCAGCATAATCATCCCCAAACCTACACAAAAAAAGTGGACGGGGTTTAATTGGTGTCGCCCCCCCGTCTCTCTTTCTGTGCCTCCCAAAAAAATCAAACTTGGCAAACCATATATCCCTCGCTATACGATTCACCATCTCAAGTCGCAATGCCATGTTTAACATGGCAGTGGCTTTCTTCAGTTGTTGGCTATCAACATAACACGTTCATGTCAAAATGTCATCTTAATGCTGGAAACTGTGAGATCAGCCGATTGGGGAAAGTACTGCATTTTAAAAAAAGGTTTAATATTTGTTTCCGACGGTGCATTTCTTAATGCGTTTATTTTGAGTGCGATGCACGCTCGATTCGCATCACGGCTTCGTCTTTAGGTGCTTCCCCGACCATTGCCGAGTGACGCACACGGCCGAAATGCCATTTGAGAAGGGGTCCGCACCCAATTTTGCGTAAAATGTGAACCCGTTGTGTTACTGTACAGTTGTCCTGCAGTAGAAGTCAGCAAGTAACATCGTCACGTATCTGATGCGCCGAGCACTGAGCTCGACACCGAGGATAAGAAAGGTTTCTTGGATTTGTGAACGTCTCTAGAAAGTGATAAGATTTTTGGCTCAAACCTGCGCCTGGGTGAGTCTGTGTAGGGGAGTGCACAACTACTACTGCACTGTGGCCAAGGGCAAGCACGTGACGTTTGGATACGTGGTGACTTGCACGAACTTTTTTCACACAACTTGAATCCAGTCACTATCATCAGCAGCAGTGAACAGCCACAGAAATATACTGGATGAAGGACTATTATCGTATGCTAGCATTGCACGCAAGTCTGTTACAGCTGCAATGAATCAAACTCGCACACGTGTTTCATTAATAACTCCGTCTCCTGCTTGGGTTGTTCCTTAAAGTGAATGCTCGTGCTTTTTTGTTGCTTTAGCTTTGTGGTCAACTTTATTTGAATTCCGTTGCAGCTTCACATCATATCCTCGGCACTAAGCCTCTGCTGCTTTGCTTCAGAGTGATTGTGAAACATTGCAAGCTTGGTTATTGTCTATTTGGTGGGTTGTACGTGCGCATTGACAAGTTTTAGCATTATCAAGAAGCAAATTTAATATGTATAGTATACATAAACTAATTAAACTTTTCCAAATAGATGTAAGGTCAACGTTCCGCTGACTCGGCATTCCTTTTAAAATGGCCTTCAAACTTACGTAATAAAAAGCACCGTGAATGTTGATAAACGACTGTACAATACAATTATTGACCAACAAGGCATGTACGCATTGGACGTACTATTTTATTACATGAACCTTATTTTATTACATCCGCATTCCTTAAAAAAAAAACGAAAATAAAAACGTGACTGTGTAAACCCGAGAGAGTGTTGTGCCCGACAATATTAAGTAAGCTCTTAACCTTCCGCGTAAAAACCAAAGTTGGCACCTCTCCAAGAACTTTAAAAGCCCAACTCTTATCGTCATCGATCTGAAAGTTGTTTTTTGTTCGTCGACGGACCAGTAAACAACTTGAAAGAAAGGTACTTTCCGAGGAGGAGCGCCCCTGCTACTAAGGGGAACTACGCAAAAATAATTCACGTTCGGTCCGTAACACAATATTGTAAGTCGACAAGAGTTTAGATTTTAAAGATATTAAGACGCCAGCGTAGTACACATGTTGTGACACTAAAGCAGACTGGCAGAGCCAGGCATGGCACGTCACAACCGGTACAATAAGCAGGGCGGCACTTTCGTTTAGTAGCCCCAATAATAATTCACACTCATTATTTGAGCTATTAACGCAGCCAACCACCCATTTAAACACAATGTAATTATATTTTATTGCAATTCGGTTACTTTTACCCTTTCCTGACTTAATATAAGACGCATTTCCCCTGCCCCCCCCTCCCCTCCGTTTTTTAAATCATAAATTAGGGGTGATTTTTATTTGATTTAAAGCTTTCGTGACTGCAGGGATTCATATTCTTGGTTCTTTCGGTAAAGTCACCGAGAGAACCAAGAATATAATAGGGGTGATTTGGTATCGTCCAGTCGGGTTGTGTGTGTGTACGCGTGTGCGTTTGTGACCGCATTTGTAAAACTGTGATTCTGTTGACATTGGACACAAGTTTGGAGTGCATCTTGCATTCTTTAGTGCCTTATAATGCGGAGAACACGGCAGGTATTATTGTTTTGTACGTTCTGCACGTGTGCCCAGTTAAATCAGTACTGCACCTCCTAAGATGGTAAGTGACGTGTTTTTGTTGTTGCAGAAACCCCTAATTTCCATTCACCACCGCGTTCATGTATAGCATGCACGTATGTATGTTGAACTTCTTTCGCACCGTACATAGCCCAATCGTGTCAATCGGAGGTGTAGGGGAAGGACAAATAACTAAATACGAAAAGCAGTTTTAAAGAAATGAGTTTTCAATGTAGACTATTTAAAGTGCATAAATCCAGTGGCTTACTTATGGGAAGGAAGAGCGTTCCAGACGGCCGCATCATCAACATCATCATCACCACCACCACGTACATGTGCATCAAACTCAACACAAAAAGCAGTTCTAAATATATGAGTTTTCAATCTAGCAGCTCTGTGATCGCAACAACAATCTCGTTTTAATGCCGAGCAGGGCACACACGCACGTCATGTAAATCCACTTTTCTACTGTATATTGCACAAAAAATCTATGCTTCGTTGTAAGTACAAAAACGAGCAGCACATATCCAGCCTAACGAGTAAACATCAGAAACCTGCTCCACCGGTTCTGTCAGTTTGAAGGGGCAACTTTTTACAATATTCATCGCAACTTTTCGGATCATGAACAAACGCCAAAATGGATTTTGTCATGCCTGGAGTTGAATAACGCCATTAATAATGACAAACACACGCTCTCCTCTCCCATGGCCGTACAATATTTTTTGACATGTGCCCTTAGCGTTCACCACCTAGGTTTTCTTGCGTCTGCAGAGGTTAAGTGCGTCTCTATACGGCGAGCCCGCAGTGTCAATGTCCAGTCCAGCTTGTGTACACCAGTGACATGTATCACGTGTGCACGAGTCACTGACACTGAGACGGGCAGGCGTCACGTTACTGACGGGTGCAGCACACAGTGTTTCCACAGTCCCGTGCACACTGCACAATAAGACTCGAAAACACCCCCCAAAAGAAAAAGCCTAATCCCCTCGACAAGTACGGTAGTGTCCTCACAATTACGTGGTCGAAATAAGGGATATAGTGTGCATTTTACTTAAACATATCAGGTCTATAGACTTTGTGGCGGTTATTGACGGCGAACACAGTATCATCAAACTGATGGAATAAAGAGGAAGACTAGAGAAAGGTGCGTTTAGAGTTCTGAATGTCATAATGAAAGCAGCGTGTACTACTGTAATGTGGCTTAAAAGGGAGATATTGAATCGGTGCATATTACCGGCTGTTGATATATGGATCAGCCACATGATGATTGACTTAGAAAAATGGAACAAAAGACAAATAGTGTGTAAAGAAGTATGGTGAGGTACATGAATTCTGTTTTAGTTTTGTTGTCCTTCGCTTAGGACGGTTGGCTACGTACGGTGCGAAAGAAGTTAAACATACAGTACATACATTTTAATTTAAAGTTTTCGTGACTGCAGGTATTCATATTCTTGGTTCTTTCGGTAAAGTCACGTAGAAGGGAAACAAAATAATAATAAAAAATAAAAATGTATTGTTTCCCTTCTACGTGACTTTACCGAAAGAACCAAGAATAAGACAGTACATACATAAACTTGGTGAAGTCTGGTCCAACATACCGTGCGACCACCACAGTGGATTAACAAATTGCTGTTTTTTTTTATTTCACATGTATTAACGTACAACGTATATGTGTTGTTTTGTTTTGCAGGTTACAATGGGAGACGATCTGTATCATTTAGACGTGAGTAATTTCCCATCATATTTCCAGTAACTGCATCACCAAAGCTCATTGTGTCGTTTACATAATTTGTTTTGTTGAAATCGTGACTGATTGTGGGTCATTGTCACGTGGTCAGCACCTCTGTGTTTCAACGGCAGGGTGCAAATTTGTTCCCTGGCTTTTTCGATTCGTTTTCTGCTTCATATGGTAACCCGCAATAGACTCACGGTTTGTTGAACAGGGAAAATGAGTTTGCAGATGTATATAATCCTAAATGTTGCTAGTGAAGTTTTTGTCTCAGCAAAGGGGGGGGGGGGGGAAGTATGTGATCACAGAACTTGTTTATTGCCATGCTCATAATTGATCGTGGGGCCTCATTTTAAATTGGCTCACCTCAATTTAACTTTTTCCACTTGTGAAGTTGGAAAGGCTCAAAAGTGATTCCCCGGCTCAACCGGCGAGCATTGAGGCTCACGTCTGCCTCACAGCCCCGAGTCACTCGTGGATAATTCTGAGTCTCTTCTAGAGGGCAACTACCGTACACCATAGTACAATGGGAGCGTATTATCAAGCAATACACTGTTTAATTGTATGCCTGTATACAGGTGACCATACATCGATGGTGATTTTGCACATACGTGCATAACATACGTACATAACATACGTACATAATGTGCATACATAATGTACATACATTTAGTATTTTGATTTACTGCGAATAACCCAACCAATAATAAGATATCCAGTGTAATTTATATGAATATACATTAACCCCCCTCTCTAGTCTTCGCACCTGATTGGCTCACAAATGACGACATCACATTTATCCCTCTATTTAAGACCTAAACAGGAGTTCTCCACAATTCTGGCTATCGCCTGATGAGGCTGGTTATAATTACCGGCAAAAGGTCGTACTCCAATTGTAAATGTTATGGGTTTACTCTCCAACACACCGGTGTGCTGAACTAGTAATTAATTGGCATATTATGTTTACGTGTCAACCCTTACTTATTGGCTGTGTTGGGTGGTGAAAGGTGTAACGACACATTTATATTTATGCGATCTAACCCAAAAAACTCAATGATGGATAGCATTGGTCGCGAAAGTCTACTTGTTAAACTAATCACAGTTAACATAAAGTGGCACTCACTTTATTGACCCTGGAGGGATGATGGGCCGACTCAACTACCATCAAGAATTAGACATTCGCGACATCTTGATTGCAAGCTCTACCACTCAGCCACCCTTTCTTAGCCCACTATAAAATAAACATTTTCATGTATGTACTGTATGTTGAACGTAGGCAACCATGCTAATGATACATTTCGTACATTATTATTTGTGTTATACCTTACGTTTTTATGTTAACATCAATATATTCATGATAGTAATGCTTATAATGATTAAACTGCAGTGGAAATAATTAGTTGGCTTTTATGGATTTCCTACGTAACCACCAATGTTAAACAGGTTAACCACTTTATGGGGGGTTTTTAAGTGAAAAATATTCCCAGGAATAAATGGCAAATGTAGAAACTTGTGAAAACCCCTCCAGCTTCCAACTCGGAAATATAACTTGCATGCACCCTTGGTTAGCCAATAAGCTGACATGCATTTATTTCACAAAGCAGTTCCTGCATCATTACCGTTTAATAAGCCCTTTAGCAACTACAACAGTTTAAAATATTAAACAGATAATTGACATTTCGTAGACTCTACTTGGTCATAATGCATGAACACTCTCTTTTTCCCCTCGCTTTATGGAGTGTTATTTCACAATTATAGTCATTTGGAATTCAGTGGGATCATTGTTAATAACGGTCAAGTATGAACGTTTTTAATTATTCTGTCATTATAGCAGAGGTGCCAAAGTCATGTCCACAACATCACGTGGCAGATCTTGCATCTCACAGTCTCGTTGCATGTGCACCCATTAAAATAGCTTGCCCTTTTTCTTGGATCTTTCGGTAAAGTCACGTTTTATCGAAATAACCAAAGACATGACTTTACCGAAAGAACCAAGAAGATGAATCCCTGCAGTCACGAAAGCTTTAAATCGAAATTTAAGCATCCCCTTTGTGCCAGATCTTCTTAATTCTCTCCAATACCATTCAGGACAATCTGAAAAAAACACGTTATTATTTTTAACCTTCTGACTTTCGAACGTTCAGTCATAACTTACGAACCGAACCGCGGAACTATTTTTTTCGGCAGAGCGATCCTCCGCGAGATGTAATGAGTCCCAGCGTCCCACGTGATGCACAACGACAGTGAACTGTTTGACTCAAGGTTATTGAAAATAAAACTGATTTGCTTGCTTTCATGTTACTTTATTTTATGTTTTATTCACTACATAGCCAACCGTGCTAATACAGTATTCACGACATTATTACATGCAAATGTACAATATTTCTTCTTATTTATGCGTTTAACAATGCTTCCATTTTTTGTTAAACCATAAACACATTTTATAACACTGACCGTACTCACAATTAAATACCGAGTTCCGAGATACGAACAAATGGACTTGTGAATGGGTCTCAGCAACGTAACGTGTTCGTAAGTCAAGGACTGCCTTCGTGTGAAATCTGCACAGGTCTAATACAATTTTTAATAATTCAAGATATGGTCACTTTTAATTCTATACCGGTAATAACTCTCAAACGTGCTTTCTGGTTGCTACCCTGTGTTGATTTCGTCACGATGTCCGAAGTTTTGCTCCACATGTCGGCGAGCTGCTTCAGGGACTGAATAAACTAAAAACTATTTTCATTTTACCAGGTAAGGCCCACTGAGCTGTTTTCAGAAGTGACCTGGCCACAAATGATATCTCAGTGAAGAGGCTTATCATGTGGAAAATTATAGCAGCCACAGACTCTAAATGCACGTTGATTCTAAATGTGGAGAAAAAAACCGGAGGACCCGGAGAAAAATCCACACGACCATGGGGAGAACATGGAAACTCTAAATATATTGGCATCAGGGTTGGGATCGAACCCATGACCTGTTTACCAGGCGAGGTAGTTAACATCTTGAAACACACTAAACAACCACACTGCAGGTCACAACACACACACCAAACCACCACACTGTGCCCTCCTCTCTAATGCTTTGTGCAAAACACTTGGGGCGAAAAGTACAAACATAAAGAACTACTATTAATTTACAAAATTGGAAAAATTCTCAGGGGACGTGGCAGGTGATGATCCGGGGCTCGTGGGCAACCATGTCCTTCGCCAGACCTTCCAATACTGCACATTCTCGACGGCAGTGGTTAACTGTACCGCCTGCTTCCAAACAGGCCACATTCAGGTCCCGGTCTTGGGGCTTGATGAGGCTGTCTTGCACTTGGTAGATGGGGAGGAATGGCTGCTGCCTTCAAGATCGGGATTGAACCTATGACCTCCTGTATACCAGGCGAGGTTAGTTAATATCTCGCCACCATGGCAAGATGTTAATTGAGCAATTCGCATTCTCCCTCGCGTTGTTGGCTGCTACTGGTGTCTGATGCTGTAAGTTGGCCGATGTAATGGCAATGGCCAGGAATGTACGTTTTGCGATGAATCAGTTGTGACACACATACACGAGCACACGAGCTAATCATTGAAGAGACGGTGTCGTGACAAGTGTGGCCGATGCTATTGTTAGTCTTGAGAACATTGCAGTTGGTCAGTTTCCACGTTGCTCTGCACACCAAAAGAAATGAGAAAAAAATCCCTAAATAATCACGCACTTTATTTTCAATTACGTAGGAGGCAATCCCGCCGTCCATAATGACGCACGGGCGGTGTGTGCGTGACTGAGCCCCAGCCCTCGCGCACATATTTAAACGTACGATAAGGGAGCGGGGAATTTTTTTGGCCCGCTGCTTCCTGGCCATTTGCAAGAGAAGTGCAGTTGGAGTGCAATGCGTTGCAAGTCACATCGGTGAAGCCGTATCGATCGTACGGAGAGGAATGCCAATACACGGTGACATTCGGCTGTAGTGCTCAGCTCTTGGGTAAGGGAGCGAACCTCAACGAATTTGTATTACCGTTGTATTACTGTACTCTGGTTTAAAAGTAACATGTGCCGATTACGAGCTCTTTTATATAGCGATTCATTGAAATGCTGTTATGTATTTTCATTTTGCCTTGTTTCTTCCATCTATTTTCGTACATCAGCATATCATTTTCATAATGTGTAAACACAGAATTATGATGTGCGCACTTTTTGTACGTAATTTCTTTTTTTTAAATCATGTACTGTTTACAACGCGGATTCTGTCAAAGTTGTGAACGTTATCGCACCGGCCTTGCAATGCAGAGGTCGCTGGTTGTATCTCCCGGCACGGCAATTGAAACAGCGGTGCAAGTTCATTAAAATTGCCGCATCAGCCCCACTCAGCACCATCAATGGATGCGTCACATGTAGTCGATCGGCAGGTCCAAGCCATCTGGTCAACGTGGAGGAGTAGATCAAAATGCCCTCTACAGGTGCTGTCTGGAGAAGTGGTTTTCAACCGAGGGTACGTGGACCCCAGGGGGTACGTGGCAATGTTCCAGGGGGTATGTGAGGTGATTTATAGATGTGTGAAATTATATCATACATGAGAGTCATATGAAGAATAATCGTGCATGAATCTGCCAACATAAAATAACTACGATAACATTTAAATCCTTATGGTAACCTTTAACGATATAAAATACTCTTTGGTTCTTTCGATCGAAACGTCGTGATCTATTATATTTTCTACCTACGTGACTTTACCGAAAGAACCAAAGTGTATGGATTCCTACAGTCACGAAAGCTTCAAATCAAGATTGATATAAAATACCTTTTCTAAACTCAATTGGTCGTAAACAATGTGGTTTTCAAGAGTAACCAGCGAGCACGAACAAATGACGTCACGCACGCAGAGCATCCGTTGAATTGTTTTTATTCGCTTGCAGTTACCGGGTAGTTTAGGATAACCTCACAAAATGGACAATTAGTTGAAATACCGATGTTCATTATTCATACATTTATTTCTCAGACCCACG